AACGCTCCTGAAATTTCCACCACTCAGATCCCTGATTCAGATGCAAATAAGCCAGCCACTGTGATATCCACCAATGACCTTGGGAGTTCTTCCCAACCACAGGTCCAACCCACGAACGCTCCTGAAATTTCTACCACTCAGATCCCTGATTCAGATGCAAATAAGCAAGCCACTGAGATATCCACCAATGACCTTGGGAGTTCTTCCCTACCACAGGTCCAACCCACGAACGCTCCTGAAACTTCCACCACTCAGATGCCGGATTCAGATGCCAATAACCATGCCACCACAATCCCTGCCCATGACCCTGGGACTTCATCATCAACTGAGGGCCAACCAACGGTCGCCCCTGAAACTTCCACCCCTCAGATCCCTGATTTGGATGCCAACAGGCATGACCCTGGGAATTCTTCACCACCAGAAACCACCCATGAAGGTTCCACCACAGAGGTGGCAGCCTCTAACCAAGAATCTACCTCAATTACTCAAACTAATCCTCCAGCAGCCAGTACTGACAACAACACAGCCTCTGGCCCTAAGATTTCCTCACCTGAAATACAACAGGCCACAGATCCACCTACCGGAATTGCCTCCACTGACTTACCTGGCCCCTCCCCCGAGCAGAAGCCCAAAAAGGAGATCACCCCAAGTGACTCCGCCCCTGAGCAGGAGCGAAAGCATCTTACGAACTTGATAGATCAAGAACTCAAATTTGTGGATAAGTTTTGTCCAAAACTTGGCATACACGAAGAGCATATAAAGAAAGAAGCCAAAGAGGCTGCAAACAAGTTCAGAAAGTTAAAAGGTGAACCTTGTGAATTGAAGGAACTCAAAGATCTGAAGAAGATTGTCACCAAATTAAAGCTTCAGATCCCTGCAAAATACAGGACATATGACGAAATCGACCAACAAGAGAAAAAACAATTTGATATGGATAACAGAGGCGTCATTTCCTCTAAGTTGCAGAAAAAGATGCCTCAGTTGCATAACCAACTGTTTAGTGAGAGCCCTTTCTGTAAAAATATACAGAAACGTTATAATGACCTCAGGCGCGAATTAAAGCTTTGCTTGCTATGTTTCTCGGTGTTTCCGGAAAATGCAATTATAAGTAGAAGGTTAATGGTTTACTGGTGGATAGGAGAAGGTCTTGTCCGTCTGGACGATGATGTAGGATTTGAAAAAACCATAGAGGACTGTGCAAATTGTTATTTTGAAGAGCTTATGGAGAAAGACTTCATTGAGCCGGAATCAAAAAGGCATGGTCGTAATGTGGCCACCTGCAAAATGCACCCGATGGTCCGTGCTGCGCTGGTTATGATCGCAGACAGGGTTAAGTTCTTCGATTTTGATGAGTATGGTAACCCAAAAGATTTCGGAAAATTCGATGAAATTGAAAGCCCAGAAGATGTGCCTCTGATCTATCCCCTTGGTGAACCAAGAGAGTTCTTTGATTTCTACAACGAACAAGATGAAGAAACTGATGAAACCATTAAGTTTCATGATTCCGATGGGAATCCAATTCCATTCGCTCCACGTCATCCGGACGACATTCTACACCCTGTTGACCGCAATGGAAAGCCGATAGTTTCTGAGAAAAAGTTCTACTTTTACGAGAAAAAGAAAATCACCACGAATTCGTATAAGGTGTGTTTGATGGGTAGCGGGCTATCGAAAGGTATTCCATGGGAGAAGCTTCATATGTTGTTCAATGTTAAGGATGATATTCTAGAATTTAAGCCGGAATGGTTTCTGAGGATGGAAAATGTTAACGTGGTCTTCCTTGGAAGATGGCAGAGCTCGGCTGCTCACCATATTGAGGTCGAAGAATTCAAGTTCGAAGAAAGTTTGGAGCATATGAACCACGTTCGGTTCTTTAGCCTTCAAGGAGTTTCGAGGATTTCTAAACTTCCAAGATCCATCTCAAAGCTCGAAAGCCTTGTGATTCTTGACCTCCGAGCTTGCCATAATCTTGAGGTAATTCCTAGAACCATCGGTTTACTAAAATGTTTAACACATTTAGATATAGCCGAATGTTACCTGTTAGAACACATGCCGAAAGAAATTTCATCTCTAGAATCCTTAGAAGTCCTTAAAGGGTTTGTAGTCGTCGAAGCCGCAGGAAGACGCATATGTACGCTTAATGATTTGCGAAAACTAGGAAATTTGCGAAAACTTAGCATGTACACTCATATGAAAGACTTCCCACAAGAATCACATCTAGATGCCTTGCAAAAATTCGAAAGGCTTCGAAAACTAACCATCTTGTGGGGTGGGCACGAATCAAAGCCCAAAACCGATAAGTTGAAACAAGATTCTGGGTGTCAAAGTAATCTAGCATCGAAAATGATGAAACTGATTCCAAGAAAACAGTGGGTTAAAGGGTCCATGAGACGAATGAATGCGTTCAATAATTCGACATTGGGTTCACGGCTAGAAAAACTAGACCTCAAGTGTTTCCCGGACCATGTTACGCCAAACTGGCTAACCCCAGGTAGTCTCAAGGGTCTAAAGAAACTGTACATCCGAGGTGGACAATTCTCCGATTTGGGTCAGTATCAGGACATTGACGATTTAGGAACTTCACCGATTCCGCCTAAGGAGACGTGGAACGTGGAGGTATTGCGATTGAAGTATTTGGATGAATTGAAGATGGATTGGAGAGAGTTGCAGACACTGTTTCCAAAAATGAATTCTTTGGAGAAAGTGAAGTGTCCACGGCTCACGCTTTTCCCGTGCAACGAGCACGGAGTTTGGACTAAGAAGCGAACGACCACCCGTTAAATAGTAGACGGAGTTGTCGGTTCGTGATGCGGTTTGATTCGTATGATTTCGTTGGCACGTCGAAAAAATAAAGTAAATAGGATTGGAACTCATGATTCTTGGAACATGTATTATTGAAGATGTATGTTTGATGTTGTTGTTGTTGATATACACCATTGTTGCATGTAATTTGTGGTTTTAAGGGTGTCACCAAGACTTCTCGTTCATAAGTTGGAGGTTTTCACAAAAACAATCGTTTTTATTTTCTCACGTAAACCATCGCTAGCTGAACGTTTGCGCATCCGTCTGCTAGTTCAACTTCATATTTATCTTCAAACACACAAATTGGGCATATGCTCAACATTTTCATGAAACAATTAGAAAGTTGGTTATATTTTCACATTTGTCTTGAATCAGATCATACGTTCAGACAGAGTCTATCGAGGAACTACCAAAAAAGCTCGGGCCTAGTAAGCCTAAATCCCGATACGAGTCAAGCTCAAAGCCCGACTAGGCCAGAATTTTTGGGGCAAGTCCAAGCTAGGCCCAGCCTGAAAAAGCCCATCATGGAAAATCCTTGAAAAACATAAGCCAAAAAAAGTATGGGCCGAAAATTTTTGACCGTCTCCTTTTTCAACCCTAAAGCCTAAATCGAGACTAAAAAAGGCTTGGCCTTTTTTTGTTCACTGAAAACGGGTTTGGAAGGTCTAGGACTTTTACATCTCTAGTTCAAGGTGGGTGATCAGAGATGTCCTTAGGGGAGGGTGGGTCCGGAACACGCCGAGGACCAGAATTTCCTAGTAAATAAAGAGACACGATTTTTTTAATATATGATAGGACCTCAAAAAATTAGTATTATATTAAGGGCCCAAACATGTAATTATTAATTATATTGAAGAAGAAAATACGTAAAAGGTTTATTGGTCATTCATTGTATACTATTGTTTATTGTTTATTTGTTTATCTAGTACTAAAGTGCAAAGCTACTTGCCGATAAAACCTTGATATATTATTCATCATTCATCTCCCACCGACTCTTTTGATTTTCTAATCAGCATGACTTCTATTGTTTTTTATTAACCTGGATATCCAACCCGCTATGCGAGCCGACTAATCTCAGGACAACCACCTGCTTTGCATATAACCTGAAGTCACCGCATTTGAACCTACGTGGCCACAAGGGGATTTTTATTCTTCATTGGATTTGAATCTGAGACCTCCTGGTACTTTTGACCTTTGAAGCCAAGCTTAAACCAACCAGACACCGCCCTTGTGGTTATGACTTCTATTTTTGTATTAGAATAAAGTGGATTTATTGTCATTAATTAAGAAAACTTCTATAAGAAACTACCAATCATATAACAAATACAATTTATGATATTCTTTGAACTCTAAATAAGCAAACAAGTTCAAAACTACTTGAAGTTATAACTATCATTTTGAACATACATCCAAACCACAAGGGTGGTATCTGATTGGTTTGAGCTTGAGCTTTAAAGATCAAATATATCTGGAGGTCACAGGTTCAAATCCAATGAGGCATAAAAACCCCCCTTTGTGGCCACAAGGTACAAATATGGTGACTTCAGGCTACTCGCAAATACTCGAACAACGGTTTTTAATGAATTATTAGTATTTATTGAATTCAATTTTATTTATGGTGATAAAAACAACATATTGAAGATTTTTTTTTTCTATATATTAAGGGCTTTTTTAGATCTTTGCCTAGGGCCTATAAATATCAGGAACGGACTTGTAGGTGATCATCAAAAATCTAACCGATCGACATCCTATCAAGTTTCATGTGAGACCATCGATACAAATAAACGCAAACGTTAAGGTCGGGCTACGTTGAGTATACTTTAGAGGGGTATTTTGGAAAAGGACTTAAAAGTTGATAATATTTTTCAAAAAATGTGAACATGGAACTTGTTTTCAACAAATACAATTTATGATATTCTTTGAACTCTAAATAAGCAAACAAGTTCAAAACTAATTGGAAGTTATAACTATCATTTTGAACATATATCCAAACCACAAGGGTGGTACCTGATTGGTTTGAGCTTGAGCTCTAAAGGTCAAAAGTGTCTGGAGGTCTCAGAATGAGGAATAAAAATCCCCTTGTGGCCACAAATGTTCAAATATGATGACTTCAGGCTACCTGCTTTGCAGGTGGTCAAAACAGGTGGTCGCTGTGGGATTAATCGGCTCGCATAGCTAAGCTAATAATATAATCTAACACTAAGGTGACTCAAGATGCTATATTTTATGGTCGATTCACCCTCGGCATACAAAGCGAAAATTGTATCCGTATAAACGCCATCAATTTCAACAATTTTCAAATTGTGAAAATGGGATGATGTGTCGGTCATTCAATCTCCTCCGTTTCATGCTTGTATTGTTTTCGCTTTCGCTGCTTCTACATTGGTGGTCAACGACACTAGTCGACTCTTTTATATTCGATGCCATGTTCCGCATTACACCTAAGCATTCTTCCAAGCTTTCCTATAGTCGAGAACAAACATGAATCAGAATGTAGTACCGTACAAGTAGTAATGCAAGAATGTAGGTGTCAAAGATTCGTATCAGCTAAACTTGGACCATTTCTTCTCAATATACGTTGGAACTTTTTTTCTATTAACCTGGATATCCAACCCGCTATGCGAGCCGACTAATCTCAGGGCGAACACTTGCTTTGCAGATAGCCCGGAGTCACCGCATTTGAACCTCCGTGGCCACAAGGGGATTTTTATTCCTCCTTGGATTTGAACCTAGGATCTCCTGGTATGTTTGACCTTTGGAGCCAAGCTCAAACCAATCAGGCACCACCCTTATGGTTATACGTTGGAACTTTCATTTTTCTCCTTAAGGGATATTTTTCAAAAGTAATTAAATGGGGTTCCAACATATTCTCACATGATATAAGAGCAAAGATCTATCCCATAGACTTGACACTATGTGGCAATTTGTTCTCGTCTAGCCCCCCTTCTCGATACTCTGGACAATATATCTTTCTAGGCTCCGTTGGGGGCGTGTTATAATCCCACATCGGCTAGATTTGAACCATTTATGCTTAATATATATTGGAATCTCCACTCTCTCGTTAAGGACTTCTTTTTAGAGAGTAAAGTGTTTGAGATTGCTTATTTGAAACAACTTATGTATTTCTACAAAAGCACTTGTCAACTTATTATTAGTCAGAAGAGTTTAACTTCTTCAAAAACTTCTTATTACCGGTTTGGCACCGGCATAAGTTGTTTATCCAAACGCTCAAAAGTGCTTGTTACCGGTGCTACACCGGAATAAGTCAATAAGTTGTTTTTATAAGCAATCTCATACACCGTCTAGCCGTTTACCAAACACTTACCCATTAAGTGCTTACCGGTAAAATTTAACACTATTATTTACTTATCGGGTAAGATTTTAGTCCACCAAAACGACATCGTATGCAATAATTTACCCGGTAAGCGCTTACCGTGGTAAAAATCGTCGCCCTCACTTACTGGGTAAGACTTTTGGTTCTTTCGCTCTAACTGGGTAAGATTCTTGGTAAGCGCTTACCCGGGTAAGCGTTTGGTAAACGGCCCCTAAATCTCCCGTAATCGGAAGTAAATCTTGGGGTAGATCAACTGGTTGGACCTTACGATTATTAAAAAGAGTGGGAATTGAAATGCATATATAGTTGCTTACTTTGTTTAGATATTTACATGAGGAAATTGCAGCTCTGAACTGAGAATGTTGAAGGGGAATCAGATGTTGAGATGCATGAAGAAGAGCAGATGCTGCAATCACTGATGGTCTAAATTCCAAATACTTGATTCCTGTTACAGAAACATAGAACCAAGGTCATGAATCAACCCTACCTAGGGATACAAGGGTCCAATTCTAGAAAGTTTTATTGTCTGTATCATTCCAAAGAAAATAATTGTTGTACAGATTTGTATTCTTCTGACTTCAGTTTTACTAAAGGAATTTACTCTTTGTTTCCCCAAATTTTTGCTATAAATATGACCAAAATTGTCCCTCTAGTATCTCCAATTTAGATCAAATTTACCTCTCAATTTTTTTTTAATTAATATGGATATCCAACCCACTTTGTGAGCCGACTAATCCTAAGGCAACCACCTGCTTTGCACGTAGCCCGGAGTCACCGCATTTGAACCTCCATGGCCACAAGGGGATTTTTGTTCCTCCTTGGATTTGAACCTGTGCTGGCACTTTTGACCTTTGAAGCCAAGCTCAAACCAATCAGGCAACACCCTTGTGGTTCCTCTCTCAAATTTTATTATCTCTTCTATGTAAACCTGCGTCATTCATTTTATTTAATCTATCTTTTTATTCCCTCTACGGTAGATGCGGAAGCATCTGATTGATTAGCAGACAGACATAGAAGCGATAGGGAAATTTGGGACAAATACGGTCAACATTGTATGTTACGGATATCCTGTGACTTACTATTTGCTAGTTTTGTTTGACTTCTCTTTTTCGTCACACTTTTTTCCAAATTAAGGTCTTAATCGTTCTATCTTTTTGGGTAGAGGACATATATGCATATATTTTATCCCTTCTAGACCTTACATTGGTATAGAATGTACAGTACTCATTTAGTTTTTGCTATCCTTGAACATCTGATAAGAAAATTTGATAAGAGGACAGAGATATTTATATAATTATACATGTTGAGTTGTATATGTGCACCACTAAGGGGCTGTTTATGAAACGCTTATTAAGTAAGTGTTTATCAAGTCACGTTATCTTATCGGATGAACAAGACAATGACTGATAATTTTATCCGGTAAGAACAATGACAAGGACCGAAGATCTTACCCAGTAAAAGAGGGTGATGACTCTTACCTGGTTAGCAATTACCGGGTAAATAATTGCATATGATACCATTTTAATGAACTAAAATCTTACCTCGTAAGGTAAGTGATAGTATTGAATCTTACCGGTAAGCTTTTACTGGGTAAATGTTTGGATAAACAGCCCATTTCAAGCCATTGAAGCATACATATCTTGGTTTTAAAGTCACTGAAGTGTACAAATGCACAAATAGCATGGTTTTGAAAACGTTGATGCATTAAAGATGACACAGATATTTTACTTTTATGCATAAAATCTATTAAACTTTGATGATTTTTTAAATGGCATGTCCTAAATTACCAATAATTAGTTAACCGCAATTATATCAATTACATTATTTAGTACTTAATCATTTGAAAACTCCATATATTTTGATAATCGTAACTTCTATCTTAATGTATTGTTTCATATGATTTTTTCTCATCTAAGGCTAGCATTTAATGTATTGATGAACATATATTTGTTTCACAATGTGTTTGCTTCATATGTATACAGTTCACAATCTGAAATTCTTTTACATGTAAATTTTATTTCACAAACAGACTAAAAATGTTCATATTATGAAATAAGCACATGTGAAAAAACACAATATAAAACAAATATATGTTAATCGATATTTTAAATCCTAGTCTTTAATGGAAAAAAAATCATATGAAATAACACATAATGCATCAGTTTTCAAGGTTATCACAATTTCACGAGTTCTCAAAACAAGTCCCACCCACATTATTTTATCCAATTTTTACCCTGGTGAGGTAACAAAAATGGTTAAAACTTGGAACATATGACTGTTTATGTTAGTAATGAGATAAATCTTGAAAAAGAATTATAATATATAATTGATATATGGTATTGATAATCCAAAATATGATGGATTAAGATATGGAAGTGAAAGGCAACAAACCACACTCAGGGAGTTGAAACTTTTGTGGTTTGCCCACTGATGGACACTTGGTGAGTCTGCAACAATGCACAATTATGGGTTTTGGACCTATGCTTTTGTATTACTACTATCCCGATAAATGCTAAGCGGATAAGATTTTTGGTCTTTATCATGTTGTGAAAATGACACGTGAAAGTGACACCCTTACCGTGTAAGGTGAGGGTTTGGTAATCAGCCCTGACTAATTTGTGCATAAATGATGATGATTAGATGGTATTACCGTAAGAAGATTTCAATATGATCTGTGAAGCTCGATCTTTGATTGCTTGTGATAAACATGGATCTTCAAGCTCAAACAACGAAAGGAAGTAATAGAGGAATGAAAATGGCGTAATTGATCGCATTCGCCATTTCAGAGACGTGAGAATAAGAACCTCCATTCGACTAATGGATTTTGCATCATAAATCGAGCATTTGTATCCCTATTTCCATCAACATTGCAAATTTAATTAGAAAAAAAACTCCTCGATTTCAATCAACACACATTTACAGACGAAATGATTCCAGAAATTGACTCACCTGTAAATCTGGTATGGCTAAATCAGAATTCTTCATTTTTACAGAAAGAGAAAGGCATGAAATCGCTACAAGCCCGACGATCCAAGGCTTCTCTTGATTCTGCAACAATGATGTACAATAAAAACACAATTTAACTTCGTCTCTTCCAAAAACACAATTTAAAAGCACGCAGTTCTTACCACAAGTTTTTGAGCAGAAATGAATCGATCCATATAATTAACAGCAAGGTAGGTCACGAACGGATCCAAATCTTCGGAAAACTGCAGATTACAACCAAAAAAATAACGAATTAAAACAAGAAATCGAACACGAAGCAGCAAATTATACTGGAAAAACTCAATAATTTCTGCGATTGAGTTAGAAATAGGAAACTGAAAACTGCAGAAAGTTCACAAAATATTGAACGAATCAAAACCAGAAAACGAACACGAAGCAGTAAAAACTCGCTAATTTCTGCGATTGAGTTTGAACTAGAAAAATGAGAAGTGCAGATTGTAACAAAATATAATTAACGAATCAAAACCAGAAAACGAACACGAAACAGCAAATTACACAGTAAAAAAAACTCAAATAATATGTGCGATTGAGTTGGAACCTTGGATATGACCATCAATGCTTCTTGGCGAAAATTGGCGGGAAAATCGTGAAGAACGAAAACAGATTCATCGGCAAACAGAGATGGAAGTATGTCGGATTGATGTTCTTTGAAGCTCGTTAATGGAATCTCAAGATCAAAGAAGAAATCCATTAGTTTTTAAGTGAATATATCTTAACTTCTGACAGCCATTGAATTAAACTTGGTTTCTGAATTCAGAAAAACAGAAGTGGGTGTGCAGTCATTTCTTCGAAAGAAAGTCTTTAACTTGTTCTACCAGCTGTTGCATCTATTTATACCCATCCATATCTACCCCACAGGGTAAACTCAAACACTTGTACCTTGTGCATTATCACTTGTACATCCCTACAATGAGGTGAATGGTGCACTTTTTTTATTAACCCGACATCCAACTCGTTATACGAACCGACTAATCTCAGGACGACCACCTACTTTACAGATAGCCCAGAGTCACCACATTTGAACCTCTGTAGCCACAAAGGGATTTTTATTCCTTCTTAGATTTGAACCTGACACCTCCTGGTATTTTTGATCTTTGGAGTCAAAGCTCAAACCAATCAGGCACCACCCTTATGGTTTGAATGGTGCACCTTGGCACCAAAATAAACACCAAATATGATGACCACAATAAGACATTCTAAAAAGACATCAGAATTTAAGGTTTGAAGATTATTTTATGGGAAAGCGGTGAATACAAGACTGTAGCTGTTTGAAAACCCAGATATCATTATTTCAGTATAAATGTACTCCATCACTGGTAAAAAGTTTGAAGTTTTATAGGTGGTTGAAGGCAAATCACCTACAAATTTGGTGATTCATCAGTCTAAATAGTCACGAAAATCTTCAGTAGCCTTAGAGGTACTTGAATTAGCAAACAATGGATAGGAACCCTGATGCTTAACTTTAATTTATCAGTTAAACAAGCCCTCCAGCATTTCCAGCAAACTCTCTAAAATTGAGATGTAAACCACTTTTTTCACTTCAAGAGATTATGTGTTATAGAGAAAAAGTACGAAAAAGATACTGAAATAATCCAAATTTAGAGAAAACCCTAAAATTAAATGCTCAAAATAGAGAAATGGTTTTTCTATTATTTTCACAAACAATAAAGTTAAGTGTGTTAACCACAAGGGTGGTGCCTGATTGGTTTGAGCTTGGCTCCAAAGATAAAAAGTACCGGGAGGTCCCAAATTCAAATCCAATGAGTAATAAAAATCCCATTGTGGTCATGGAGATTCAAATGCGATGACTTTGGACTATCTGCAAAGCAGGTGGTCACCCTGGAATTAGTCGGCTCGTATAACGGGTTGGATATCCAGATTAATAAAAAAAAAGTTAAGTGTATTATTATTAGAGTAAATTACATTCTTGGTCCTTGTGGTTTATGTGTTTTAACACTTTATGTTCCTATTTTAAAATATCTATGGATTACATCCTTTTAGTTTGCAATTTATAACGCGTTGGGTCCCTATCACTAACTTCGTCTAAAAAACTTTATTAACTCGGTAAGTTTAGAGGGGTATTTTAGTCATTTAATTTATTATTTTATTTTCTATTAAAACCATAGGGACCAATAACGTAATATACTCTATTTTTTATATTAAAATCACAGGGACTAAGAATGTAATTTACTCTATCATATACACATCGAGGTCGTCATCTTCCCCCACCCTATTTTATGTCGTCTTCAACGCCCCCTTCTAGTCATTGGCAAACTCTATAAGTAGTATCGCACTCCCATCACACTTTATCTCCTCCATTTACATACCTCCTTCACTGACGACACCACCACCCATCTCTCCTGGTCATCGTCGATCCTCCTCGTGACACCGACTTTCGGATCTAAGAACAGAGGCTCTTTTGATTCGAAAACCTATGACTCACTTTCAATAAATACCAACTACATAAAATATTTGAATTTATGTTTGAAAGTTACAACATGGAAAAATAAGTATATAGACTAATCAATTATAATGTATTAACAAAAGTTATATATATATATATATATATATATATATATATATGGGATATTTTTTAAGAACCTATAAAATTATGATAACTTTAAAAACTTATGTATCATGTGTTATTTAATAAGATTTTTTTTTCATCTAAGACTATGATTTAGAATATTAATTAACATATATTGGTTTCACAATGTGTTTGTTTCGCATGTGCTCGGTTCACAATGTGAACTTTTTTAACATGTTTATGAAACACAAAAATACACGTAAAAAAGTTTCACATTGTGAAACGAATACATATAAAACAAACAAACTATGAAAACAAATATAAGTTAATAGTATGACTAGATATAAAAAAATAACACATGATGCACAAGTTCTCTAGGTTACTACAATTTAATGAGTTCTCAAATTATAAGCCCATATATATATATACACATCAATCGTCATTAACATATATTTTTACTATATCATTCATCATAAATATACATAATATTCATATACATTGACATGTATATGCATTTTTTTAGTATTAATACATCAGTATAAGATTCATCATGAATATACATTTTCATTATAGCATTCATCATAAATATACATATTATTTATCATGAACATTTATGTATGATCACATGTATACAACAACTCTCTAGTATTCATATTATGATATTTATCATAGATATTAATTTTTCCCATAATATTTGTCATGCATACATATATATATATATTATTCATCATGAATATACTATAGTTTCAACTCTACATACTCTAGTTTTTCTTTTCTTTTTCTTTATTAGGTCTCAGTTGATCTCGATTAGTTCCCAATTCGTCTCGATAGGTTCTCAAGCCATCTCGATAAAAGCTGAAAATGGTAGGTTATTGTTTTACACAAACAAACACACAATAAATCAATCAATCGGTCTTGATGGGTTCACGATCGATCTCGATAGGTTCTCGATCGGTCTCGATGTGTTATTGATTTTTCTTGATGGGTTCCCGACCAGTCTTGATAAAAGTTGAAAATAAGAGACTATGGTTTTACATACAAATTCATAATAAATTAATTGATAGGTTCTCGATGGAAAATGAACGTGATAGGTTATGGTTTTACACACATAAACACAAACCAAGACAATGAATGGATTGTTGACCGGTCTCGATGGGTGTTGGGTTACAATGATGAAGGACGTGGCGTCAGTTTACGTACTTACGACATTGAAGAAAGTGATATTGAGTTATGGTCTTACGATATCGAGTAGTTGTACATATTTGAACGTACATAAATATTCACAAATGGATATTATGTATATACAGCATTTCACGTAAAAACGGTTAAAACGAAATATAAAAAAAAACTATATCGAAATGGATGTCATATGGAAGAGAATGGACTTTTTGTTTTTTTTATATAATTTGTTTAATTGAAATATAAGTAATTTTGAAGATAATTTAGTTTAAAAATTAAGAAGGTAAAAGTTTTTAATTAAAAAATAAAAAAAAATTAATATAATTAAACGTGACCATTGAAATTAACTTCATTTTTACTCCTAATCACCTTAACTAACAAAATACATTTTGTGATAAATTAGTTTTGTTAATTTTGACTTAGGTGCCGTTTACCAAACGTTTACCCGAGTAAGCGTTTACCAAGTCACTTTACTTTACCAGATGAATATGGCAAGGACTAAAAATCTTACCCGATAAGAGCGAAGACCCCGATAAGAGCGAAGACAAGAATCGACTCGGTAAATGAGGACGAGGATTCTTACCATGGTCAGCGTTTACCAGGATAAATTGTTGCATACAATGCGTTTTAGTAAATAAAATCTTACCTGGTAAGTAAACAATTGTTTTGAATTTTACCGATAAGTGCTTACCGAGTAAGTGTTTAGGTAAACGGCTCCTTAGTTTAATTTAAAGACATTTTAGGTATTTTGGAAATTTTATCTCTCATCTCTCTCCTTTATTCTCTCTCTGGCGAACATCATTTGAACACAAGATACATAATGTGATACCTAAAAAGACATTGATAATGTTAAAAAAAGAAACATACAAATGATACTTACTGTGATACCCAAAGATACATACAAGATGCATATTGTGATACTCTTTATAAAGCAATGAAAATAACAAAAATGCATGCACACTGTGATATCCTTCATAAAATTACGAAAATACATGTTGTGATACACTTTGTAAAATAAAGCTACCTTATACACTTCAAAAAACACATTGTGTGTGAGACACTTCAGGACATAACCTGTCTCGAATTGGCTTTACACAGACAATCGGTACATAATGTGGAAAAAATCAGAAGCAAAAAAAAATGAAAGATTTCGTTTTCTAAAGTAGTTAGAATTATAGAAATACTGAAATAATATATATATATATATATATATATACTCGAACATCGCGCTAGCGACATGCTTAATACATGCAAGTTGGACAAAGTTTTTAACGAGGCATTTGACCAAATAAGATCATACAGTTCCTATATAGAAGTATTCTTTTACATTGAAATAAGGTGGGAAGAAGCGTTACACATAGTATGCCCGTCCCCCATCAGCTTATTTTTTGTTTTACGCGCCCATAATTCACTAATCGAACGCTCTTGAGCCGAATGATCTTATTCAAAGTGAAAGATCTCAAATATCTGGAGTTTTTGTTTGAATATTATAGGGAAAAGTCTAAAAAAATCCAATGGATTTTAGTGTTTTGAATAATTAAGTCATTGGACGATTTTTGGAACAAATAAGTTCTTGGACATTTCAAAATCTGTTAAATAACTTCCTGGATTTTTTAAAACTTGTTAAGATACATCCTTATGACCTATAAAACTAAATAAGGTGGTAATACAATGGAAAAAACCTGGAGAAAAAAAAACAATGAACTTTCATATTTTTAGCGATTAAGACCTTAAACATTTTTTTAACCAAAAAAGTACTTACATATATAAAATGAAACAAATATTACCAAAATGGTATTTATATTTAAAAAAATAATTGATGAAATTTATTTTAATTAAAAATAAAAAATAATGTCAGTGATTTTCCAAATTGAAAAAAAAATTAAAAAAAAATTTAAAAATGACTATTAATTATATTTATTTCTAGTTAAAATAAAATATATCCTGTATGATTTCTCAAATTAAAAAAGATTAAAAAAGATTTAAAAATGAATACTGATGAAATTTATTTTCTT